GGGGGGGGGGGGTCTTTCCTTCCGGGGGTGAGTTACGTGAGCGAAAACACACCGAAATGATCATTTGGGCGTTTGTGCGTTGCTCCGCAATCGTTCGTCTTACCTTCGCTGTTCTCATCCTCGGTTGACTTGGCCGATTGTAGCTTCGCGCTCGGTTGCTTCGCTGCAATCAAAATTCGCAGCTGGCACCGTTCTCTCTTTTCTCCTCCCGCTTACTTTTTCTCCGTCTACCATCTTCCTCCCGCTCTACCTGCGCGTTTCTCCCCCGACCGACTCTCCCCGTTCCGCGGCCCCTCGATCGCGAAATTCACGAGATCTACGCGCGTGTAGCGTCCCTCTTATTGTCGAAAATCGTTTTCGAGACGCGACCCTTCCTCTCGACACCGAAAAACCGCCAAGTGCTGTCTACCCTCGATCGCGAAATACCGTGGGATATCGAGGAAATCGAGGAATAACGAAAATAATTACCGATGCTCTTCTTCCTCGCGAACCACGTCCGGCGCAGTAAAAACGACGAGAAGGAGAGAAGCGGAGGAGTTCGATCGCCCGACAGGTCGGGCTCGCTCCGCTTCTCGAGGCCGCTGGATATAAAGCGCGACGCCAAGATGGGAAAGTCAACGGCGCGGAATTCATCGCGGCCAAATTGCCTTACACGGGGATTCGCTCTCGCGGAGAATTTCCTCTCGCGGCGAAACGAGGTCGCGGAAAGGATCGAAGCGAGATCGCGGGCGATTAAATTCGAGCCGACGACTGCTCGGAGAGATCGACGATCGACGTGGTCGACGTTCCGGACGCGTCGTCGTCGTGAGCGCGCCGACGGATATTCATGCCTTTATTTTTCGCCGAAGGGGAGAGAGAGAAAGAGAGAAAGAGAGGGGGGGGAGTGAAAAACGCACGTCTATTTATTTCGTATTTGCCGGCGCGGCCTCTTTGACGGAAATAAAAAAGAAAAGCACCCGCCTTTTCGCCGTTGCTTATTCGCTGTCCCCGTGTTACGCTCGACAAAGGCGGCTCGCGGATCCCAAACAGATTCTCGGGATTCCTCGAATCATATGGGAAATTCCGAGCAATAGTCTATTCCCGAGGAAATTCCTATTCCGCTGGCCTTCCTCCCGCCGAGGAAGAAATCTAATCACCCTTGTCGTGACGGCTTATTTCGGCGTTGAGAGTATTCGTTCTCTTGAAATGATATTATATGCCACCGCTCGCTCTCGGTCCGTTTTGCTTCATCTATCTTCACGACCGAGACGTGGAAAAATATCCGAGAGGAGCCGGTATTGTTTACTCCTCTTTCAAATCACGTAGTTACCCTCCGAACCCCCGCGTTTTACGAGGATCGCGTACTCGCGTGCAATCTCGCGTGTCAATGGCGAGAGAAATGACGGGATACCCTACATCGACTCGATCGACAGCTGACATCTGTAACTCGAAAGCCGGATTCGAGATCAGCTCGCGTGTGCCGTGTGATAAACGTACCGTCTACTTTAGAACTCGAGCGATTTACATGGAGACACCGGTGCAAAGGCCGAAGTGAAAAGTTCGCGGCGCGGAGAGAACGGCTACGTCATAATACGTCAAAAAAACGTGCGTTACTGCGTCACATACGGCGGCGGTCTACGAAGTCTCGGACGGAGCTCATCGTTCCGCCTAGTCCAATCTAGCTAAGAACGCGACGAAAATTTCAACAAGGATCGATAATTGATGACCCGGTAGTCGTTTCGAACGTATCGGCGTAATGATGTAGCTACGGGAGGATATATTGCATCTACCGTTAAGATTCCAGACAGACTCGTTCAGCAGTTCTCAATCGTTGCCGTTTCAAACAAACAGACAGATAAATATACAAACAGACTCAGCTTTATCATATATATGTATAAGTGTGTATATATATGGATATATTATATATCATATAATGAAAAATAATATGTGACATATCATACGTATCGCACGAAAATCACGAGAACGCAGTCGTGTGTGTGTGTGTGTGTATATGTATGTGTGTGTGTGTGTGTGTGTGTGTTAAGTATGTATGTATATTATGAAGTGAACGGGATGATAAAAATGTGACGTGGAGAGCGAGAGTGCGTTTACGATATAACACGAGTAGTAACACGAGTAAACGAGATCACTAAAGACACCCTTACAAAACTAATATAAGAAAAAAAAAGTAGTTCAATAGCGAGTAGAACGTTCTCTCGAGAGCGTGCATCGCCGTACGTTTATATTCCTTTTATCTCTTCTTGTTCCCGTCGTTATCTGCCTCCTATATCTCTCTCTGGCAAAGGCGTTTCCGCTCGAATGGAAAAAAATTACGAATATATACGCTTGCAGAATAAAGTTGGCAAATACGACGGACAAATCGGTCGATTCACGCTCGAGTGACACGACAGTTTACTAACCGGCGTCAAACCTAAACAGTACGAACAGCCTCTGGCATTTCCTTTCTGCCGGCGATTTTAGCGTTGAATTTACAAGATTATCGCTGACATATGTTCTTTCTCTCTTCTTTTTCTTTCCTTTTTTTTTTCTTTGTAAAACAACACATTTTCAAAACGCTCGTAATTGGTTCCACGCGATGGCGGCTCATTACTGCTCGCTTATCGCCGTACGTATATAACACACATACCGGCAAAATCGTCGCCGCTTGCCGGTAAGCGAATCATCACTTTCTACTGTTTAGGATTAACGTTCTGCTAATGGTAAGTACAACGAGAGAAAATGTGCTGCCTGTCTCGTAATTATAACTAGTCACTTACTCGATGGTGGCGGCTGCGGCGCGCGTCGCACAACCGTATGCTCTTGATGCGGTCCCGTGTACTCGTGCCATGTGTACGTGCTCCTGTATTCCGAATGAAGCTGCTGTAACACGTAATTGAAACTAAGTTTTACACGGAGAGATCCGCACGAGTCGAACCGCATAATCGAACTATCCGAGCGAAGTTCGAGGCCGGGGTTGTAAATAACTTCCGACGTAGCGCGAATGTTTATTTATTTCTCTCCGAAAACTCCTCGCGGAAAAAAAGAGGTAAGTGAGGATAAACAGGTAGAACGGAATTTGGTATATTTCTAGGAGGAAAGTGTGAATCGAGACCAACGGAACCCCTCCCGGCAAGCGCAGTTGTTTCTCGAGCGCTCTTGTGTCCCGAGAACGTATTTTTCACCCCGAGGGTGAAAATGTTCCGCTATTTACGACACTACGGAAGAACACGATCTTGAAGAACCGCGAGGCCACCTGTGCCTGCCGACTCGTATTGATTTGCGCATATTATAAAAAAATAAAGAAAATAAAGGAGAAGAACGGAAGTTATTCGTGACACGGAAGAAAAATTCTAGCCTCAAGCTCGGATGGTTCGTCGTGAGTGGAAAATGGTGGCTTAGTAATATAGTACATTGATGCAGGATCGTTGTTAAATTGATAAATTTCAATGATCAATGATTGGAGAGAGAGAGAGAGAGAAAGAGAGAAAGAGTACGTTCGCAAAAATAAACTCCGCCTTCGTAAAATATTTCTAACATCGCTGGCGTTCGTCGCCATCAATGAAAATATGCTGCAAGGTTTCGATAGATGAGTCGAGTCGACGGTTAGGGCTTCCATAATCCATTCGGTGAGGCTTTGGGACCCGTACATCCCTCTCTTTCTCTCTATTGCGAGCAGAGCATAATTATTTTTATCCGACACATGCCCGCGTCGTTTGACTTAGACGAGATATAATTAAAACGGCCGAATTTGTAAACAGAACTATATATAAATATCGGAACGCGATCGAAACTTCCCTGAACCGGTTCCACCTCGTAGATCTCTCTACTCGCGCTCTATTTCGGTCCGATCTCTTCGTTCCTTTCCTCTACGAATTGATTTTTCATATAATTTTTTTATATAACTACTACTTTTACATAAATACCCAATTTTTCGGCAATTGAATTCGGAGTCACTTTTCCAGCTCTTCCTGAAATATTCCGGGCGAGCGAAATTATATTTTCAGTCGCGTCGTGGCGGCGAATTTGCCCCATCGTTTGATAACTTAAAACAGATGCAGGCTTTCTCACAATAAACGATACATGCTCCGCTGTGAAACCGTGCATGTGTGTGGATGATTATCGATTCTTCGACGCCTATTTATTAATGGCGATGTGGGGCAACGTTAACCTTTACCATAGGTCGCCGCGCCCAGACAACATAAAGTACAATATATCCTTTCCCTCCTCTCCCTCTCCCAAGTCACGTAAGAGAGAGAGAGAGAGAGAGAGAGAGAAATTTTGCAAAAATCGCTCTTCGGGCTAAGATGAAATTATCATCTTTAGCTCTTCTGGACTAAAAAAATGATATCGTGTTAGTTCTTCAGGGTAAGACGACATTATCATCCTAGTGTGCATGTTAAGATCAAGGTCATCGGAGCAGTATCCGGTTAAAGCGAATAATTACGGAGGTCAGTTCGACAAGAAAACTCAATGATCGAAACGGAGGTGCGACGGATTCAGAATTCAGGAACGAATTCCGGCGATTCCGATTTGTAGGACAATGAGCGCGCAAAAGTTGCCGCGACATCGACGCGAGGCCCGACGGTTCCATTGAAATCATTAACGGGTCTCTGCGTGATCGGGGAATAATGACGGCAAGTTAAATAGAAAAACGAGATACACACACATATAACCGTCTGCGGAACTCGAAGCCGCCGGTCTCTATCGGTTTTCTATCATTCGCTGGAGTCGCGTGCTTCAAAATCGCCCACAGATAAAGCTCGTTAGGCTCACGAATAGGCTCGTGAAGCCCAGAAAGACAACGCAAAGTCCCCGGGTTGGGAAGGAGAAGCAAACAATGTAACGTTGAACTACTATGCATCGCGGTGCATCGTCGTTCAAATGAGACGAGCAAAATATATATCCCTCGCGACGATACTTAGTGTCACGTCGCCGAGCCTACGTTCGCCTCGTGTGTTTTTTCTTCTCCCGGGGTTAATACCGCAAAGTAATTTTTGATCGATCGAACTTCGACGGAGCAGAGAGAAATCTGTTTTTCCGGGCGGATGCGCGCCGATGAGAGACACGTCGAGATGCGATCGTCGACAACGATCCTCTCCCGCGTCTCCGCTGCATCCCGCGTGTGTCCTGCCATCTCGTCTCATTACCTTTCGAGGGCAATTGCCGACGAGAAGAGGAGAGAGGAGCGAGAGAGAGATAGAGGAGGAGATGACAGGATAGACCGAAATCGTTGTACCGTCGCGTTGTGCAACTGTCATGGATTAGACACGCGTTGATATGCATATCGGGTGTCCCGCGGCGAATTTTAATCGCACGACCTAAGACGCGGGAGGGATGCATTTATGTGCACGATAATCCGAATTGTCGAATTTCTCTTTCGAGTTCTCTTTCAGCCCAGATCACCGGATTCGAACGCCGAGAGATCCCGTCGATATGTGCCTACGCGTATAATCGTATTCTTAGAGGCACTCCCACACGTTTTAAGTATTAATAACGCAGCAGAGCGTGCGAGAGAGCTGGGTGTATTAAAGAAAATACACTGGCTAAATTTACTTCTCTCTCTCTCTCTCTCTCTCTCTTTCTCTCACGACACTATATCCCTTCTATTTTTATTAATTTCAATTAGTCGGGCAATCAACGGGATCCTCAGGATAATCCCGCGATACGTCAGGCGTCAAGCGAACATACGTCACGCGCGGTAGGCCTACACCTCCCTCTTCGAGCATTACGCGCGAGAGTTTCGCGCGATTAATTAACATGTATCACGCTTAACACCTGACAACAACAACCTCGTCAACCGTTATCGGTATTCTCTATCATTTTCCAGGAGGAGCGTGTACATTTGCAACTTCGTCCGCTCAAGTTTAACGATGAAATCGAAGTTTGTGTGCCGAGCAAGTTTGCGGGAATATTTCGATACGTAATTGCGCAAACAGAGCGATGTACCCAGTCGAGGACGGGGCACTGATATGGCATCAGCGAGAACGCCCGGCTGCGTTCGCAAGGCGGATTACGTGTACAATACCAATAACGCTGTGTGTTATTGATGAAATTAATTATGAAAACCTTAACAACAGGCAATAATTAATTAGAGGCCGTTTACAACTCCATGTTGAAAGTTCGGCGAAAATTAGCAATCGTCCGTATCGATTGGTTTTTGAATGCAACGATGAACCCACCGAGTTCGTAAAAATTCACATGGCAGGCAAGTGATTCCGGTAAATTTCGATGCCGCGAGAACGCCGGCGAAAAGAGGCGAAGGATTCCAAGTTTGCCTGAAAATTACCAACAAGCGGGTAAACATTCTCGCGTGATCGAAGGTAGATCGGATGTGTCATGGAAAAAAAATGCAAATGCGATATACCTGGTCCAATGCATTTTCGAGCGTCCCTTTTAAACGCGCTTCGAGAATGTCGCGTGCAATCGGGCCGGGAAGTTTATCTTATTCTGATAATGTGCTGGTGCGGCACAAATGCGGTATAACGGCGAGTGGTAGAAGTCAACGTACTGTACGACTCGGCCCAAGTGCCGCGAATATCGACGAAGACATAACACAGTGGCGCAATGCCGGTTCTTCCACTCGCTCCTCCCTCGCAGAAATCGACTTTTCGCGCTTGTATTTTCACCCCCGTGCGGCAACGGCAATTACACTTCTCGCTCTAGCTGTGCGCTCTTTTTACGAGTTCTCCCCGTCGCAAGCGCGATAAAATATTTTTCGAAATAAATTCTCCACTATCCTTTCTCACTCTATGAAATTACCGTATGTTAAGTACCCGTGTGTTAAGTACTCGTGCACCGCTCACCTATCTTTTATGTAAATTTATTCTTCTTTCTACGTACATAGTTGATTTTAATTGTAAAACTTTACGTTACCACCTATTCCTATTTATTTTATTCCTTCTGTTTACCATTGTTGCTAGTCTATCATCTATCTTTGTATCAAAAACCTGCGTCTTGCAAATTTTTTTATACAATGGCTTTTTTCGTCTTTAAAGAGAACACCCTAGAATGACAATTAACGTTTCTTTCTCGCTTTTAAGTATTCATTTTTCTATATTTTCATTCCTCTCTTTTTTATTGAATTTATAATTTTCTTAACTTGGTCACTACGCGTATATTACTAATTGTCTTGTATTCCGCGATATATATATATATATATCTACCCTTAGGAGGGTTTCTTTACTTTCGTAAGTTATCGCATACCTTTTCTTTTATCTACTCTGCTAAATATTAGTTGAAATTTTATTACTGTATTATTAACTTTCTAAATTGTAGTCTTTGGAGAGCACGCCCTAAGGAAAATAAATGCTTCTCTCCCTCTCTTTCTCTTTCTCACAATAAAAGCAAATATGTAAGCAGGACCATTCCGTGTGAACATAATTACGATTATCCGCGCGTTTCTGCAAATAGTATCTCCGCCGCGAATTCCCCAGCGCGAATGAGAAAACCGTGACGCTTCCTCTCGGTCTCTTCCACCCGACCGGTTTGGAAATCGTGAAGTCGTTCTCTCGCGACTTTACTGAAACCCATCGACGCGCGAAAAGCGTGGCGACCTTTTCGCAGGTGCGCTAATCGCATGGGACAGCGCGCTGCGCAAAAGTGCGGCCGGCGATGAAGCGGCAAGAGTCAATGTACGTTTCGCGATACAACAGCGTCGTCGTCGTCGTCGTCGTGCACGTGATCGTGCATATCGACGGACGAACGCGAACGGTGGCGCAGTGCCGGTTTTCTCCTACCACCTTTCGTGACGAATTGCACCGGGGGGGTCGATTCAGCCGAGTGACCGTGCAATTCCACGCCGCTCTGCGTTATACTCCGGGTTAGTTGAAAAGAGTCGGCTGGTAACTATGTTGCCCGGCAGCGACCGCTCGAAATCATTCCGGGTCCTCCTCGGCCCGTTTCGCCCCACCTCGTGCCGCTTATCAACATATCCCGTCTTTCGTTCGTTCGGATTTAGTCGAGCCGCAGGTAGAGATGACTCGGCGCGCGAGGAGTCTTCGATAAACGCCGGAGGGTCGTTTTGAAAAATGACGCAAATTGGTGCCAATCGATAAACAACGTTTCCGCGGCGACGCTGACGCGGCGGTATCGTGTGGCGTACTCGCTCGTTGTTGCTGCCGTCACGGCAATTAATCCACCTGACTCAAACAATTCGACCTGGATTCCTTTTTACGTCGGGAAGCCTCGAAGATTTCTCGCCGGGCAATTTCCTGCGAGTGCGACCGGAGACCGTCATTTTTTCTTTTTTCTAAGAGCCCTCTCATCGCGCCGGATCGCTCGTGACACACGCTTCTCTGATTACGCTCCTTGGGATGATCCTCGATGCCGAATCGCAGGATCATACGGTGTGATACGCGCGAAGACGCGTCTATTTCCGTTAACGGTCCGCGGAAGAACTTTTGCTCGTCAAAGAGAGAGAGAGAGAGAGAGAGNAGAGAGAGAGAGAGAGAGAGAGAGAGAGAGAGAGAGAGAGAGAGAGAGAGAGAGAGCTACCGGGCACGTTTCGCCTTCATCGACGAGATTTAACGGCAGGAACGAAAGGATAAAGGCGATTCGCGCATAAAAGCGGGAAGGACATTTCCGCGTCTTTTATCACTTTCAATTCTGGCAATCCGTAACGTTCGCTCTGTGCGATCAATTCGCGGATAAAAGAACGAATAGCGGCATGCGCGAAAGACTCTCTCTCTCTCTCTCTCTCTCACATACAAAGTACGAGCGGTCGACCGAATCGCGTATCGCCTATCCTCGTTATCGTCGCGCGATAAAAACGCGAACGGTAGCTTTATTCACTCGTAGAAGGAAAGAATAGAGGAGTGTGTCGAGCACGCGAACGTGCCAATTTCAGCGCTGGGAATTTACGAGCCGTGACTCGATTGTAAGCCGCGATGCGAATAAAACTGAGGACCCTTCCTCGATACTCGGTGCTCCAAGGTCGGCCAACCTTCGTCTTCCACGTCGGTCTTATTGAAAGGCCAATGGTGAAACGAGGGGAAAAAAACAGCTAATTTGCGGAGGAGAGAATTCCCGGGTGGAGATTATAATAATAATCGAAGCGTGTCCCAAGTAGTCTGTAGTGGCCCTAAATAGGCGTGCCCTAAAACAGGTCTGCCCTCGTTGGAGCCCTAGACGGAGCCTAGAAAGGTAAATCTCGGATGGTATTTCGTGAATAGATCCGGAATAGGGTGCTCCTAACAAGACTCATAGGGCCTAGAATACCTTTAGTAAGAGTATGGACACTGTTAGTCAATTTTTGACTGACTCTTCGATTCGCCATATGTAATATGGAAGAAGCAAGTGGGAGTGAGAGAGAAGATGTAGTAACGAAGGACGCTGTATGAATGATGTATATATTGAGTGTTCTTTTTCGTTGAACTAATGAACACTCGAAACTTAAAAAGGGACAGATATGCAGTTGAGACTTGGTGGAAGGGAGAGAAGTTCCCTATTAATGGCGAACGGTGTCCATATTCTGACTAGAGATGCTCGAACAGGGCTCAGTCAAGGTCCAGTTAGATATATTTACAAAACTGGCTCTAAATTATATAATTATTACATTTCTGTATCTAGATAGAAGTGGGAAGAAATTGTTCAGCGCCTCTTTAGCTCTCGTTTTAAAATTTCTCGATTCTGCACGAATGAACTTTCCTCTCTCTCTCTCTCTCTCTCCCTCTCTCTCTCTCTTGGATAATTCGATTAATTTTTGAAGATGAGATACGCTTCGTCGCGAGCATGTACGCGATATTTCGATGATTGTTCCGCATCGGAACGGTACTCCGGCAATTCCGGCGTAACGAGCTGCACGGGTGCGGTAAATTTTGTAAACAACAATCACGCCTTTATTGGACGTCCCGTACTCTGTCGGCGACGTTAACGCGTTAATTAAGCGGAAGCCAAATTGCCGCGGAGAGAGGTCGCATTGTGAGGAAACTCTGGGATTTTCGCGCGCGCAGGGCCTCCCGCGCGGTGAACCAACTCCGCGCAAATTGCAAGATGGAAGCGTGCGATTTTCTCCGGCAAGCTGATCGCTTCATCGAGTTACGGCGAAATCACTGTTTATTCGCCGTCGCGCGGCTAAAATTCATGCGCCGTACACCGATGTAAATCGCGAGCGAGCGCCGGCGTAATCTAACGAAAATCGATATAGGCTTTCGATAAGACGTGGGACACCGCACGGCCGGAGGGAGCGCTATACCCGATCGCCCTTGGTCCAATAAAATATGTTCCGCTTGAAACGGGACAACCGGCGCACAATACGGCGACGATCGCGATACGAGTGTACGGCGTGTACTCCTTGATCTATTCGGCGGCCCGTCGAGCTTAAAATGTCCGCCCGCATCAACGATTAAAATATACGATGTTTACGAAAGAGGAGACGCTGTTGGACGTGCGTTAAAATTACAATGCTGTTAGAAAGGAAAAAAATATAAAACGAGATACGCGGAAAAAAGTGTAGAGAGAATAGGAGGTAAAAATAGGTGGGAGCTAAATCGACCGGCCGATTCCAAGTCGCGCGTTATATTGGACTCCAAGTGTACTTCCTCGAATCGCTTACGGATTTATAAGACTAGCGAGCAAACAGGCAACCAACAGGAGCGTCGAATCAATGAATCCGCCATTCCGATTGACCGTTCCGCGTTCGACGGGATCTCGGGCTTCCCGTAGCACAAGTGGTCCCGCAACCACGTCGTGTGTTCCTCTCTCTGGGCTTTAGGCCCTACCCGACGGATTTATGGGAAGCCGAAATCGATCTCCCGATAAAAATGTCGATGAATAACGCGAACGGTGGGAAGGACGCGAGGACGGGAACGTGTGAGCAACAACAAAATCAACGGGTTACTCGCGCGGGAGGAGAAAAATCAACAGACAGCGAGAGAATAACAGAGAAAGAGATACGACTGTAGAGACGATAAATGTAATATTCTAATATATGAAATAACGTGATCTCGTGGTCTGAGAATTGAAAATGCATTAATTAGCGTGGAGCGCACGTTCGGAAGTCGGGCCTAATTGCTAATCACTGGCTAATTTTCTTCGACTCTCTCACCTTATCAATCGGCATTGAAGGGCACGCACGGCAGAGGTTCCAGAATGAACCAATCATGAGGCCGCGGTGTGTGGGGCAGTGGGACAGTAGTGACACGCAGCCGCTGCGTTAGAGCGACGGGGGCCGTTTTCTCGACGACGACGACGACGACGACGACGGGCACAGTGTCGTCAGGCCAGGATGCTGCGTCCTGCCGAGGAGGAGGAGGACGCGGCTCCTCGACGTCGACACGACGCGTAGGTACGTACGACACACAACTACACCTTCCCTTCCCGTCCTCGTCCACCTCACCACTTTACCACCGCCACCTTCTTCTCCCTTCGAGGCAGTGTTCGTGAACGGCGCTCGAGCTCGTGCTCGGGTTCCGGATTACTCCCTCTGCGTACACGAACGTATGCGTGAATATATATATATATGTATGTGTGTGTGTGTGTGTGTGTGTGTGTGTGTGTGTCGCTCCGAGCCCGTGTGTGTATTAAGTGAATAGAGAAGATGGAGGGAGATGAAGAGAGGCGTCGGTATTGATGTGCGTATGTATGTGTCTACGTACGTATGTGTGTGCGTGCGTACGTGCGTGCGGCGCGTGTGGGTGGAACGCAATGCCGGCATCCGCGCCTGCGGTCGCGCCGACGTCCGCGGATTTTCACCAGTGAATGAAAAAAGGGGAAAAAAAGCAATATCGAAATATCTCCTCCTCGAGTACAGGCACCTCGGTACGGTTTCGGGATTGTCGTTCGCTTTCACATCCGCTACGAGAGAGCAATCGGCTATGCGATCGTGCGTATATTGGAAACGGGGATAGACGAGACAGCGGAGGTGGTAATAGCGATGGAATAGATCGCTTCGTAAAGCACACGTGAGATGGGCCGTAAATAGAACGGAGGATGCTGATATGTGGAAAAGTAGAGAACGAAGTCGCGAAGTGCCGTTCGGGAAAGGCGAGTGTCCGTCTAATTCGCGGTTACGTAATGAATTTTGCCGGCATGTATGTGCATCGACGCGTACGCGCAGCAACACGCGAGACGCCGTTTCTATCGAGACGATAAACCAGGACGATCGGCAGAGAGGAAATGATTATGCTCCCGTTAATGAGAGCGATGCAGCAGGAAGTGAAGGGCACGCGAGCGCGATGAATATCAAAGTACTTTCGACCAAGTCGAACGATTATATGAATTATTCTTAGTGAGGATCAGGAGAGGAGACGAAGAGACGGATCATTCGGTCGGCTTCGTGCTCCGCTCGACACCGTCGTCGGTGTCGTTCGCCACCGGGGAAAGAAGCACACGCAGAGCACATCGATCAAAAGCTCGCTCGCGCTCAGGCGATTTCTCGGAAGACACGAGAAAATCTATCTATCTATCAGGCATTAAGATGCAAATTGAAGGGAAGATAAATGAATAAGTCGATGAGTAGAAATAGATGGAAGAAGATAATGCGAGTTTACCAGTCGACGATGCGCAACCGAAGTCAAGGTGGCCGATCTATAAACGCGCAAGGTGGTGATTAATTAATAACGAAGACTAAAGATGGTCGCTTTGATGACTGCGGAATCGGCGGAACGACCGCTTGTCGTATTCGTGTAGTAAGGCCGACAATTCGTCCAGACAGTGGCGAAAGGCGCGAATAAAGGTCGATAAAGGTGCGACAGGCCGATGTAGCGCGTGATGACTGAAGCGGAAGCCGATTTCAGGATCTACAGGACGCGATCACGCAATTCGCTGGCGAAGGAGAAGCCCACGAAGATCAGGAAGCGAAGGAACGAAGATGGATACGAAGATGGATACGATCGTTTTCCGATTTTATCGCTTCATCGTCGCTCTTTTTCTCACTACCTCTCTCTTTCTCTCTCTCTCTTCTTCCTCCACCACCTTCTCGAGCTCCGCTCCGATCGTTCAGTCGGTGGCCGATCGTTGAAAATTCTTCGACGCACACCTGTCAGTCGGCGTTTACCGGCTCGCTGTCTCCACGCACACACGTACGTATATATACGTGTACACACCTATCGAGCAGCAGAAGCACCCCGGGGAAGAACCCGCAGAGCCTTCGAAGGCGCTGGTACGAAGCAACGGCCGGTCGCCCACCAACGCGACGTCGGTTAGCACTAATCTCGGTTAATTGAATTTCCTTCCTCGGTCTGCGCTATAGACGCGACGAGAGAGACAGAGGGAGGGGGAGACAGAGAGAGAGAGAGAGAAGGAGAGAGATCGCGATTTCGTAGACGAGGATCGGCGATTCGATTGTACCCACACTGTATATCGGTGCCGTGCCGTGACACGCGCCGGTAGTACGCGTTACGTATCCGCGTGAACGTGTAAAGTGACAAGCGGAATGACGAGAGAGAAAGAAAGAGAGAGAGAATGAGAACGTAAGAGTGAGGAAGAGGAAAGGAGAAAGAGAGGGAGAGAGAGAGAGAGAGAGAGAGAAGCAGATTAAGATAGAGATACGTTAGGGCCTGATGTAATAACGTGCGTGTGCGTGTCAGCAAATCGCTGCGTGTGTACGTGCACGCGTGTGAGTGTATGTGCGTGGGTGTGTGTATATGCCTGTGTGCGTGCGATGTCAGCCAGGTGACACCCCGGACACGTACGAACAGCACGACGACGAGACGGAGGGCAGAGCGAGAACGGAATCGTGAGAGGCACTGCTGGTCCCACCGTCGCACCGACGTTACGTAGAGCACCGCGTCGCCGGCAAGACGGCCCGCGGGGACAGTAGGAGGGGTTGCCAGAGACAAGCGCAGGCGTCGAGCCAGAACCCGGGTCGATAGTCCGCAATATTCCTCCCTTGCCGGCCGGCTGGCTATTCGCTCTGCGTCTCCTTCTCTCTCTCTCTCTTTCTCCCCCCCACAGTCTCTTTCTTTCTCTCTCGCTCTCCTTCTCTCTCTTTTCTTCGCTCTCTTTCTCTCTACCCCGCCGCATCGCTAAACTCCTCATAGTGGCAAATCACCACGCGGATCGCTCGCTCGTCTAGGACGACCCTAGAGAACGACGCTCGTAGAGAAATCCTAAATTGCAAAGGAAATGCTCGGCTTTTCAAATTCATTTCGAAAGGAAGACACGACGAGTCGATCTCTGACGTCGTGCGAAAAAAAGTTTCCCCGAGCGGACCGAAGCTCAAAGACCGACTTTTCCGCTCTCCACCGTCACCACGTCGGTTAATCCAATTCACGTCGTCGCTGTCTTTTTCGCATTTCCCAGAGTTGCGTCGGGATATCGAACGTAACGCTATCCGATGTTTTTGTAAAATTCGATTTGGAGTTAGCTGACGTTAGCCGAGGTCGATTGTTGCGAGAGCTTAAGAGCGGGGAATTTCACCGCCAGTTTGCATCCAGGGCCCTGAAATCCGTCAATCCACCACTGATTCCTTCGTGTGTCTTCTCTCTCTCTCCCTCTCTCTCTCTCTCCCTCTTTCTTTTTCCAGCCCTGTCTTTCGCTCTAGTCACCCTCTCGTTCGCACCACCACGTTGCGTATTTACTCGTACGTGCCGTCTTTTTCTTCCTTCTCTCGCCCTCCTCCGTTTCTCCTCTCGTCCTTCCTCTCTTCCCTCTTCTCTTCCTCGCATCGCGACTATCCGTTTGGTCTAGCACCTATTTTCTAGCGGGAGCTTTTATCCCCGCCTTTCGCCGCTGCACACGTATACACGTAAACACGTAAAAGTACGTACGCGTTATTCGACGTGGAGGTGATAGTTCCGAATTGCCTTCACGTTTGAAAGGTGGTGGTCCGGGTCCCTCGCGGTAGCCTGGGTCCCTTCGTTGCCTGCGTGCCTTCGTCCTCATGCTCGCATCGCACTCGATACTCCGCAACGCCAGTTCACAGGTGCTCGTCTTCGTTCTTTCCCTCCAATTAAATCCTCCAGGATCACGTAGGTTCGTGTACAAGTGACCGATCGGTCGCGTATCGCGTTGAAAGAATTCGCAGATTGGGTCCCGCGTGTCCGAGTGAAAATTTATACCGGATAATTTCATTCTATCGGGAGAAGAATATTCTCCGACGCACAACTCTGTCGATCGTCGAAGTACGTTGTATACAACATTGCTTAGCACCCCTCGGATTCGCGATTCGTGGTATCGACTGCTTCCCCCTTTCCCCTCTTCTCACTCGTCACAGCTGCTTGCTACTTAAATTTTCCTGCCCCCCCCCCCCCCCNCCCCCCCGATATAATTCTCGTTCCTACATCGTGCAACCGCGTGCCTAATGTCCCTTTCAGCTCGCTATCCTTAATTTTGTATATAGCCCGCCACGCCCCCGCGCACCGTCGCAGTGTACATCTCTTCCTTCCTCCTACGTCGTTTATATTGCATCAGTCCTTACGCTGCCGGCGTACTGGACCGACTTCGTACTTCGTATTGCGTTGCGCGACCAAGTGGGAAATAAAATTCTAAACATTGCCGGGCTTATTTAGTGCGAAGGGAGGCAAGAAAATAGAAATGGGCGGGAGCTGGAGTCGTATCGCTGCCTTTGTCCGTCCACGCAAAAAATTTAGAGGTAGCGTCGCAAAACAAACAGTCGTATCAGCGCGACATTTCCGAATGTCAAGTTACGAGAATATTTGCTTCTGAATTCTCGTCGTCGTTAATTCAGAAATTTTTAACAACCTCCAACGATCGGTCTAATTTCCGCTCGAGGAAATTCTTCCCTCTCAACGTCTCCCGGTTTGCAGGAACGTTGCAAGAACGCGGTGATATGAAAATAAATCTTAATCCGGCTCAAGGAACTACCCTCGTAAAATCCGTCAAAGATATCGCCGATGCGACGGCCGTGACGGGGGATCAGAATAGCTTTGTTATCCGGTGTCATTAACCATCCATCGCTCCACGCAGACATCGCTCTCGCGCGCGTTATCTTTAATAAGTCCTTCGCTATTCCGTCCTTGTCCCGGGATACGCTTCTATCTAACGTCCTCTCTCGCCCGCTTCCTCTTTTCCTGTCTCTGTCTCTGTCTGGTGTGCGACGTCGCGCATTCTCTTCCTGTCCTGTCCGCCGCTCGTCACGTATCCGGCGCCACGATGTCGAGCCAGCGTCGTGACGCCGGTGAGCTCTCCCAGCGGCCGGATCGGGTCGCGATAGGCGTGTTCCCTGCACGTACACAACGCTCGGAAAGTTGGGAGTAACGTGCAACTCCAATTTGCGCGAGAACTTGGCGGCGGAGGGGGCGACCAAGTTGAATTTTCGAAATCCAAAATTTCCGACGTCTCCGCGAAAGACGCGACGGCGGGGAAGCGAAGAAAACGCGCACGATGACGATCGAAGCGCTCGGGACGGTTTAATACCTTCGTGCCGTGTTTATGGTTTACGGGGGTAGTAATGCGCGGTGCGTGATGGTTCCCGTCGTAGGTTAAATTTCAAGGATAACGCGCTATCCCTCGCTACTCGTTCGTCACGCGGGGCAAATTTACGGCGGTGTGTAACGGATACGGCTGTAACATTATAATAATATGTCAATATCAATTGTCGCGAAATTATCGCGTGGATTTCGGTCGTTTAAAGATTAATTCGCGCTTAATACCATCCTTGGTAGCTTGTGCGGCCTTTGAGATTTAGTTTCTCTACTGGGAAACGCCGTTCCTGACGGTCAACACGCGACGGCGCATTATCCGAGACATTTTTCCACGCTGAAAGGACTCGGCGGCAAGTGCCAAAATTTGGTTGATATATACCCAACGTTTGATTATCGCGACCAAAAAATTTAGTTACGTATATTGTATATGTACTGAAAATCCAAGGTCCGATCCGCAGTAGCTTTTTTCTCATTCCAATTAAGAAACAGAATTTTTTCGTCGCAGTAACCAAACAATTCGTTGAACATGTATCAACCAAATTATCTGGTTAAGCCTACCTACATCTGATTAAGACAATTAAATTAATTTTCCAGCGTAAAGAAAAGGTCCAGATTCGATTCTTAGCTAAGGCACGCAGTATTTCTCGCAATGTTTACAACATATAAATTCTACAAGCTCGCACGTGCCCATCGTTCTTACTCGGGCCATCGCGTTAATGTTTTACAAGTTGGATTCGATTCACGGGTTCATGAAGGAAAGCGGAGCCGATGATTAGAAAAGGAAAAAACGGCAATCGCGCATACAATCGATAAGATCCGCTGGCGTGCAAACCGCACGCTATGCAGTCGATGCGGCCGCACGTTCCTTTCGGCGGAGACTGCGGGAATTCCCGTTTACGTGCGCTCGTTCACCGTTAGCCGTCAGGTGGATATTCGCCCGCACGGATTCAGAATACTTGCGCGCCACAGAGCTATAATATTCCCAACAGAGCGTAGCAACACAACCGGGGGTAATTCACGCCGGGGCGAGTTCAGGGACGAGTGGATGAAACGAGGTGCGCGCCGGGTGATTCCGCTCGCGGCGAAGCCGCCGGCTCGAGCACGACGATCGACGACACGGACCGACCGCCGGAGATCATTTCGATCGAGCCTCCCCGCGCCGACCCCGCGCGCTCGTACCCGCTGGATTGTGACGTCAACGGCGCGAAATCGTGGGAATCTTTCTCCGGCGCGGGTTCTACGTCGAAATAAATTAGTTTAGCTCGCGTGCCACTGCACGCGCTCGATAGCGCTGAGCGGTAAAACACACTGAAAACCTGCCGTTTCATTGTTCCACACGCGCATACGCCTCGGTCTACACGTGTGTCCGACATTTTCAGCGCAACATTTCAGAAAACTTGGCGGGAAGTGGCGAAAATTTACAGGTCGCTCGTCGAGCGAGTCCGCTCGTTGGGTCGTTATTAATTTTCTGTACGCGCGCGCACGGCGCAAATTGATTGAGAACGGGTATGATACGGCCGATGGGAGTTTATTCGGCTGAATAATGCGTTCACAGGCGATCATGCTCCGCAGTCTCGGAAGAGATCATGTTTCTTTCAACGACGTCGCGGGCCGCCGGCAACGGTATCGCGATATGTAACATCGATCCGAAGTTGCAGGCATTTTCTCGAGCGATAGCCAGGCGCTTCGATCCGTGTTAAATAACACGTATCCGTGACCCAAATAGATCCGAATTCGTCATTTCCTATTCAGCGTGCGAGGATATCCATGGGGTGGGCCTCCAAGAATTCATGATGAA